TTTTTTTTTTTTTTCTATGCATTTGTGTGACTTGAACTGTTTTTCTTCATCATATTATTTGACTTATGTGTTATTTGAATTTGATATTTTATGTTGTCTTGTTTTTTTTATAAATAATTGTTCATTTTCATTTACAAGTAATTGTTGTTTTCAAAAACTGGTCCCACAAAATCTCCATTTGTAGGATGTCGCACATGGATGACAACCAGGATTACGACAATGTCGAACATGGGGACGGTGAACAATTGAACGACAACGTGGTCGAAGATGTTAATGATGTTGCTGAGCCGTCTCATTTATCCCGTTTACAACAATTTATTAATATGCTTGAGTTTATCGACAACAAATTATGCATGCGTACACAGCGTTTCAATCTAATACGCCTATGAGAAGGATCCCGTATCGCCAAACGACGTACACCGGAGCGGACTGGATTAACGAACTCCTATCTGGGCACGATCGAAGATTCTACGATGCAATGGGTATGAACAAGAAAGTATTCAAATTGCTTTGCCAAGAAATAAAACAGACGGGTTGCCATGGCGATGAAAGACAACAAAAGGTCCGCATTCAAGAAAGTGTTGCGGTGTTCTTGCATACGATAAAAGGTCACCAAAGGCATCGACGTGCTGTCGAGTCATTTAATCGATCCACCGAGACGATTAGTAACCATGTACATATCATGGTCACTGCCCTATGCAAATTGGCTCCCAAGTACATACGTCCACCAGATTTTAATCGTGTTCCTGATTGGATACGAAAGAATAGATATTTATCCATACTTTAAGGTCAAACGCATAAAAAAATTGTGTATTTTTTATATTAAAACCTTTTTCATTTACAACTAAAATTTTCTATTGTTAACTTAGGATTGCATCGGCGCCATCGACGGAACCATCATACCAGCTTGGATACCTGAAGAAGATCATGGAAAATACAGATGTCGCAAAGGTTACTTGTCCCAGAACGTTATGGTCGCGTGTGACTTTGAATGCAAGTTTACTTTCGTTTTAGCGGGATGGGAAGGCAGCGCGAATGATGCCCGTATTTTTGCTGAAACATTGACTGACCCTACAAATACTTTCCCCTGGCCACCAGAGGGTATGTCCTGTTTTCTTCTTTTTCTTCGAACATCTCGCATGACATTTTATTTTTCATAAACTCATATATACGCAAATATATTAAGTTAAGGTTATACTAACACAACTTCTTTTGAATGATAGGAAAATATTATGTGGTGGACTCCGGCTATGCCAATATCCCGAGATTCTTGTCACCTTATCTTGGAGATAGGTATCATCTCCCGGAGTGGATTCGGTCAAACCAAACCCCTCAAAATGCGAGAGAGCTATTTAACCGACGCCATGCGACGGTCTGGAATGTGGTCGAACGTAGCTTTGGTATATTAAAAGGTAAGTTCCCTATTATAAAAGGCCTAATGCCCAACTACCCGCCTGAGTTCCAGACAGACATTGTAATCGCCTGTTGTGTTGCACACAATTTCATCCTTGAACACCAAAAGATTGCTAACGTACCGCCTGCCATGCAAGACCCGGACTACATACCAGAACCAGATGAAGACGATTTTACAAGGCCTTTGAGGACAATGTTAGATACCTCTAATGTTGGTTTACGTGAACAGTCTGGTTTGCGCGATTCGATTGCCGATGCGTTGTGGCGTGATCACGGTGGCAGACATCGTTAGTTGGTGTATTACTCATTTAACAATATGTTTTCTGTATTAATGTTGTATTTGTACGACTAGTATGGTTCATAATGTTGTTTCCTAATTAGTATTTGGCTGCTTTACATGAATATTATTGTTTTGTCCAAATAAAAAATCGTTACACAAAATAGATGAGAATAGACGACACACATCCCGTGATGAGAACATACGACACAAAATAGACTGATGAGAAGCGACGACACACATCCCGTGACAATTGACACAATTTATTTTAATAGTTTGAAATATAACGCAACAATTGACACAAAATTATAAGTACGCGATGGCAATCAATTTCCTCTCCTTTTTCTTCGTGCTGCCATACGACGTTCTTCCGCCCAGTACTCGTTAACAACTTGGTCCAGTTTGCGAGTGTTACGTTTATGTATTGATTCTATTTCACCAGGATATGAGTCAAGTTGTAGGGGTTCGAAAACAATTTTCAACGTTTCCCAGAGAGGCTCCGGATTGTTGCTGCAATAATGTTCGGCTAATGACCAAATCTGAGAGAATATGATTTACTAGATTTACACTGGTTAATAATAAAAGATTTTGGACAAAATAAAACTAGGCAAAATATAAATATAAATGAATTGTTCTACACTTTTCGCATACCTCAAATGCTTCCTCACGGTCGTCCTCGTCAAGATAAATGGTCTTTGCATGTATGTCGAAAACACTCAATGGATGTTTCATAAAATATTTAAAAGTTCGATACCTTTCTTTCAATACCATGAATGTGGTATAGCATTCTTTCAAAGTCAAATCTTGAGATATTTCACTCAAACAACTTCGGTAAATTCTATCAAATGCCATATATACGTCAAACTCCATGTTTAACCCTTCTGACTGGATGTAATGCAGAAGGATAGAACAAAATGATTCCTCAGCAGGTTGTAGCCATTTGTTTGAAAAGTCTTCTCGTATATAGAGGAAATGCTCTTCCTTTGTATCTGACAATGATAATCCCCACATGATTGTAAATAAGAAATGATTGTTATGGATGTTTTGTTGTGGTGATATTTTGACAAATAAAGGGAAACACATACACGTATATATATACGCAAATATTATGTGACAATAGATTTGGAAAAAAATGTAATGTATACCAGTCATGTATACGTACAAAGAAGTATGGATTCAACCGTTGCAGACCCCAATATCATCTGCATTCGTGTACAAAAAGATGATGGGCGGATGATAGGAGCCTGCAAATAATGTGTCAACTCATTCCTTCACATAGTGGTGAATCACAATCTGCCAACTGCCATTAAATATGCCTCTGGTCACATGGAAGGATACTTTTTATTTAATTTTATTTATTTTCGTCACTTGTTGATTTTTTTAATTTCTTGTCGTCACATAGTGGTAGATTCTATTATTGGTATTCAATATGTATAGACCAAATAGCAAATCAAACGCATGAGATATGATTTTATATGCCAAATAGAAAATCTATAAAATATTATTTATAATCAGCAACTATTTATATGGTAAAAATTTGTTCGCTTCTTCGTATAATTTGATGATTTATATATGTTAATAATACTGTTTAAATGGTAAAAATTTGTTCGCTTCTCATCCCACTAATCACATTGATTATATAAAATTAATTTTTAATATTGGCTTATTCATTAATACATATTACGGATTAATTCGTTGGTTCAACCTGTAATAACAATTTGTGTGTAGTAAAAAGACATACTTGGTAGATAAAAATTTTATAAGTTCTACAATAATTAAAAATTGTAATACAAATTAGAAATACATTACATCATTATGAATTTAATAAGTGCTACAATAATTAAAAATCCAATGACCACCAAATAACTATAAACACAAAATGGGCATGCAGCTTCAACGAGTGACGGTGGGTCATTCACACTGTTCGTCGGCACATGTGAAGTGCTTGAGTAGTTGGACCCACTTGTGGTATGATGGCTAGTTTGTGAATTGGACTGCGGATTACAATATGTTTGAGCAGTTTTCCTCGCAGAAAAAGAGCAATTATTCTCGTCATCCCACTTAAAGCTCCCTGGGTATTTTATTCCTTCTGGGCATCGAAAAAAATACCTACCATAATTTTTATCTGTTTTAGCCATAAAACGATACATCCGACCACGTCCGCATGAACAGGAGGGTGGGTGAGAGACCATTTTATGAATTTATGTTCATTTTGCATTTCTCGAACACCCCCTTTTTATAGAACCGACCTTTTGTTTTTCCCTCCATTTAGCACTATTTTTCTCCTATTAGCTCCTGCCCAAAAACAGTCTACACCTTCTTTTTTTTACACCTTTTGTTTGACCGACCACGCACCATTTCTATCATTTGGTCCCACAACTTTAATGGTATATGGAAAAACTGGACGACACACCTATACTACAACCCATTCCTTGTGCACAGATAAAAGAAAAGGCTGCTCTCATTCATCCTGTACGTAGCATGGGTCAATCCAAGAACAAATAAAAAAAAATTGTGAACTTTATCACAATTAAAAAAAGGCTGCCACACCACATGGACTCCCATTCTTCTCGCCACTTGATATTAAAGACGCATCAGAAGAAGCTTTTTTTGAACCGTTGTAGATTATTTTAATCGTTACCACCTAACAATAGCGCGCAACATCTTTTATTAATATGCACTCTGGAACTCGAGCTTCTCAAAATAAATGATCAGGACCTCGAAATAAAAATCGATGCCATAAACGGCTTCTCCTCCTCTCGCGCTGTATCGAAAGCACTTTTCGTTAAAGCTCGAATCGCATACCAAATCGAACCGACGAGGAAAATAAACCGAACCATACCGAACCGCTTATAACGGTAACCGACTATCGGTTACCGAATCCAAGGCCGTCTCTAGAAATTCGGAGGCCCCAGACGAGTTTTCATTTTCGAATTTTTCCGATTTGAACTCACGTTAGGTGGAAATTAGAGTTATTTGTTGATAGAATCATAAATTTAAACGAGACTACTAAATAAATAAATGAACAAAAAAAAAACAAAAATTTCTTGTTTATTTTTAACTTGGAATTGATAAATTACCATTAGTAATGAATTACATTCAACCAATCACGAGGACAACAAAGGGAAAAAAATAAAAAATATATCACTACAAAGAATAATAATTATTTTTACACAACTTATTCTTAATTTTCCATACAAATCACATATTTTGTCATTAGCCCCTTCATTTATGTAATGAGTCAAGTCTATATTTAGCCAATAACTCCTTCATTTGTGTAAATATTGTATAAATAGACAAAATCCAACACAAATGCATAATATTAAAAAATAACTAGGCCTCATTTCTGTAGATAGACAAAATCCAACAAAATACAGAAGATTAAAAAATAAATAAATTTTGAGGCCCCAAATAGTAGTTGTTGGTAATTTGCATTTCAATATGACTATTGTTGCTTCTTATTTTTGTCCACTTGTGCTTTTGATATACTATTGTTGCTTCTGATAGTAGTTGTATTGTTGCTTCATATTTCCATATCAATTATAAACATACATTCTATTGCCAGCAAAACAAAAAAATAAAATAAAATAAAAAAACCAAAATACAAGCCTACTTATACAATTGTACTACACAACTGTAATGATGCATATGAATGTTAACATGAATTAATCATAAATTTCTTCCACGGGTAAAACAAGTCAATAGACACCATTACACAGGATTGGTACACCACAAAATACTCACACAAAATGAGGTATACCAACCTAACCTCCAAACATTACATCGATTCAACCTCAAAACGAACACAAACATAAGGAATCAATGTAAAGCACCATGTAGAACCTTCGGCCATTTCAGTGTCATCAACAAACTCCCGAGCATCCCAATTCTGCATCAACACTTTTCCATGCCCTTCAACAATTTGTAATTCATATGTGCTATCTTCACAATCCAAAATTACTCTACTCTTGTCGGTAGACACGTTTTGAACATGAGATCGCCAAAAACTCAGTGGAATAGGCTGCAATATCGGATACTGTAACTAATTATGTAGGCGCTTCAAAATAATACAAAAAAACACATAAATTAATCGATATTATATAATACAAAATTACCAAACGAGCACGTTCCACATGGGTTTTTGTTATCTGCAGCGGAAAACAGTGTTGAAGCTCCCGTTTAACCTGATTATCTGTGTGGATTGTGACGACGAAATCGGTCAAGGAGGTTCGGTCGAACCACAAACAGTTGTCGGTCATAATGTCCTCTGCACGCACAAAGGCTAGCCATCCTTCATCAAAAACCACCCGACAAAGATTACCTCTCATTGTCACGTTATACCTTCGACCCTCTCTAGTGGTAAGGGTGCACTCGACAGGTAAAAGGTGGCTATATTGATGGTTTAGCGCGTCCGGAAGCTTCTGTGTTTAGCAAAAAGAACAACCAATTGTACGATTTATGTGACTTTACAAAAATTTTGACCACAACAAATAAACACGATGATTATTACTATACGCAAACGTACCAATGTTCGTTTCTCGGCATTCACTATGTACTTGAAAAACCTCTGAAAGTGCTCGGACATGGTGTCTTACCGTGTTATCTACAAGGATAGTGTTAAATGGTTACAACAATATGTTCCGAGGGCTGAGGCCCAGTAGCAGAAAAAATTTCAAAAAAAAAACACCTCTGCAGCACTTAAACGGGCCAAAATTGCTCTTCTTTCTCTTTGTTGGTAGATTCAGTAAGAGAAGAGGACATCATATACACAGAAACGAATAACAACATGAACACACTGAAATCTATTTTTTTCATGACCAATTTCAGTGCAATTTATCATAGAGTTAAAGGTTATATTATATTTACAGTTCAATTTCAACAAGTTTTATGACCGGAGTTGGGAGCAAAATACCTTCGAGGCTAAGATCGAAGGCCGGCGGAAGAGGCTGGAAGCGGAGGCCGGACGCAGAGGTTAGAGGCGGAGATCGGGCGTTGAAGGCCGACGCCGGAGTCCG